CTGCCAGATTACTGAAAGCCTTTGCAAGTAAATCTTCCAGCCATCCACCCTGCCTGACCTCAGCCTCCGGACCTCGTTTTTCGCTCCTGACCCCTGCCTTGTATTCTGCCTGCCATTACGACCTTCGCCTGTCTCCAACTCTGTCTCCAGCCTCTCCCACCTCGGGTAACTTCACTAAGAATAAAAGATTTTTTTTAACTATTTTTACTGTGTTTGGCGTCTTCACGGGTCTTCTGAGTTCTGTTCGTGACACACACAGGGATTTATGGGGGTTGGATGAGGAAAACGACATAAAGAAAGTAAATCTGTGTTTTGTGATCAGGTTAATTTGACATGAACACGACAAACACTTTCTTGACAATCTTTGTGAGTAAAAAAAGTGTAGAAATAAAAACAAATAATGTGAGTTATTAGGGAAATAGCGGGCGAGCGGTGTTGATGCATGATTGCGCATGCCCCGCGAGTGGTTCTGATACTTTTTGGGTCGCAGCTGCTCGCAGCACCGCTTCAACAGTGCGATACCCTCACGAGGGACGAGCAAAATATCAAACACGCCAGAAGTCTGTGCGAGCTCACGATTGCTGATCGGTAGCTGGTCACTTGGTGTTAATCACCTCTCGTGACCCCCTGTACACTACACGATGCTCAGCGCAAAACTCGCCCCGATCTTGTGGATTCTCACACGAGTGGAAAATCGGCTCAAAAAAGTGAAAAAGTCGCACAGTGTACGCCCGGCTTAAGTGGTTCCCCTACTCTCCACCTTCGTAGCTGCCCCCTTCACCGCCACCTGACTTTCGACCCATGCCCCACCAAAAAGTTTGAACAGGAGCAGAATCGGAACACAGAGTTACTGGACCTGTACAGGCCGTCGGCCGACACTCCAGATGCCCTTCCTGGCCAAACCAATAATAATAATAATGATAATGCATTGAACTTATATAGCGCTTTTCTAGCCAACCAAGCCACCAAACTAAGAACCGAAGTGTGAGCCAAGCGTCTGAGACCGCTTCCCCTCCAACCGCTGGCTTGGTGTTGGTCCTGGTGTTTTATAGGGAGCATTGCAGGTGGAGCTGATGAGGGGTTAATGTGAGACAGATGGTTTGGATGAGGTTGATGGTGAGCTGGTTGTGGTTGCTGGGTAAACAGGGCTTGGCTGGAGCAGGGGCACGACAGAAGGATTATATTAGATCTGTTAGATGATTAAAGGTGTAAATGACGTGTGGTTCTGCTTCCAAACTTAAATCAACATATTAACTATAAT